TGCATTCAATACCCAAAATTACATGATGTATGAATAACAGAAGCATCGATCTGTTTCTATTTGTTACTTCATCACTTTCTTCTACAGCGAATTCTTATCATCTCAGGATGTTATAGTTACTGGAAAGGTTTGCAGAACGGTTAATCAACAGGCAAAAGAAATATTCTTTGTGGTAATGGTTAAATTTAGTTATAATGACCGAGGCTTAAGATTCGAGGATGTAATGAAAGTAAAGTTCTACAAACTTATGAGGAAGAACAATTAGCATTTGGGTAATGTTAAGGAGGATTGGTTTAGCAACAAGATTCATGACACCAATGGCAAAGATAACCCAATACTGGTAATTTAGGAAGATATAGTCCAGACGGAAATGCTATAATAATTATTATACATAATAATTCATGTGAACAAATAAAATTCGAGGACTTAGAACTGAACTTGGTGATGAGGAAAGGAAATGAACTGTCATATTTTGTGTTATCGAAGAAGAATGAAGCAACGTGGAATTCTAGCTGGCAAGCATAAAATCAGATTTATTTAATAATTTGAAAATGAAATTACACCAAGTTATAACGTCACCAAAAGTAGTAAGTTGCAAATAATTTATTAGCTTTAATTCTTTTCATTATAATCAAATAAATTTTATTATTATTATTATTATTATTCGTTCACCTTAGTAATTGCTCTGACACAAAATGGATAGTGAATAATCCTGCATTACCTTTTCTTGATACTTCTGAAATTACAAGACTAATTTTTGAATTGAGGAAGACTTGTGGTGATAAAGTGCATCCGAGAATTGTCTTTGCAGAACGTGGGAAGTTAATGATGTCTGTTATGTATATATGCATTTGCATTATACAACTTTTTTGGATTTGATAAAAATTTCAATTCTGCTGTTGTAGGTTCATTGGATTTATCTAAATCCTCGATTAGCAAATGTTCTTTGTGACTCCGGGCGCCAAATTTCGCCTTAGTGCATTCATATCCAACCTTTCAATTTGTTAGCTCAACTTCTACCAGAATATTATATCAATATATTGATTCTATTATTAGAGAGAATTTGGGCGTTTTCAATAAAAAGTACAAAATTACAAAAAAATTAATTTTTTACTTTATATGATTTTTTTTTAGTAAAATAAGACATTCACTTCAAAAAAAAATTTTTATTTTTTTGGTTTCTACTTAGAGAGTAAGAAACTTTATATATATATCAAATATACTATAATAAAAAAGATTATAAAGATAATATAGCTAATATGAAGAACTTTTTCTCAAAATAGAATGATCACTGAAATATTAAGACATCGTGTGAAATAATAGAATTCATAAGTTAAAAAATACAAACAAATTTTTATTGGCAGAGAGAAAAACAAATTATGGTTTTTAATTTTTACAACATTTTGATCCCGGAAATAAATGTGACAAAAGACGAGATCAAATATGTTGTCACATAAGTA